CCACCAAAAAACAAGCCTCTACTTTCTACATGCCCAAACCTAGTAAATAAACAGCACCGGATGGTTTGCAGTGGGCACATAGCATGCACCCTAGTACACAAAAACTCACCGTCGATAGCAAATATCAGAGTATACCAAAATTACAATGTAAGATTATATCAAAGATGTCACACCCAAAACAAAGCACTGAGAACCAGGCAAGGTATTTCAAAAACATAATACACCTTAAAATCTATGAGATATAGGACATATTGCATTATGGGAACATTAGGACCTCAAGCTCAAATGGAAACCTTTATACATGCATGACTAAGCCACGTTCCCCAAGGATTAGAGGAAGAAAAGAAAAAAGCAGGGAATATAACCGAATCCCCAACTTAAAAGGAGCAGCAGGTTTTATGTGCTGACAAATGGCAGGATGCTGAAAGGTGCTGAGTGCATTCAGTTCCTATTAATTTCAGTGGGGCTAGTTATGTGAGCAGGGATTACTTATGTGAAAAAAGCCTTGCAGGAGCAGGCCCACATAGCAGTAAAAGAATTAGCTGTAGAAGAGCAGCTATACACAAAAGTCAGTCCATGTGCACTCAGAAATGACCCACAAAGAGTTAAAAGCCTTTGTATTAGGGCCAACTAATCTTTTAAGGTATTAACTAACAGAAGGAATGTTGGCCATAGGATCTCTATTATCCACCTGAACAACCATGAAAAAACATTCAGATCATGCCAGTGTTTTATGCTGAATCTAGAAGCAGGAATCTCCACTCTGTGCAATATCTCTGACATCCAGTGCACACATGAAGACATCATCAAAGCACTTTCTAACTGATTTGTTTCAGCAAATAAAAAGCCTACAAATGAATGGCATATTTCTGTACATAGTATAGTACCAGTGACAACTTTAGGAGTTCACTGCTCAGAGAGTGAGATTGCTCTGTGATGGAAATCAGTGCTGACCAAGTCTTTTCTTTTGTTCAGTGCAATTAGCATGTGTGTTTTATTAATTAAAGCACATAAACCCTGAGATGTTTTAAAAAGGTAAAAATGAACAAACAATTGTTATACTGAAATGCAAATCTTGTACCAATACAGGGACACAGAGAATGACATTTCCATATATACAGAGTGGTTACAGTAGAGATTTGGGAACTGGAACTTCTGGGTAACATTTCTGTTTTGGTTATAGGTATCTTTTGTTATCTAGGACTAGGTATTTAACCTTTCCTTGCCTCAACTTACCCATCTGCAAAACAGGGATAACTGGGCACATATTCAGGTTCATTAATGCGCTGTAGTTACTGCACATTAAATTTAGTACTGTACTTGTATAACCAAGTACTAAATCAATGCTCATAACTGGTGCAACTGTGAGGTAGCACCTGCACAAAGCTCTTTAGTGATGCTAACTGTGCAGCAGCTTAATACTACTGCGCAGCAGTGTAGTGTGGTTTTGCCCTGCACGCGACTTACTGCACAGTAAAATAAGGCTACTGCGTAGTTAGCGTCTCGTATAGACACAACCACAGGTACCTAACACCGTGATAATTATTCCTGTCTACAAATATGGAGAAAATAGGAGACAATTATGTTTGCATGGCATTTGGAGAAATCCAGTTGAAAAAAAGCTATATAAAATGTATAATAATAATCCATTATTAAAGAATGAGAGAAGTATCTTTACAACCAAATATTTGAGTTTAACCAATTTTATCTAATTTTTACTGTTTCTTTTTTTCCTCATTATGTTCTTAGTGTAAAGAGAACACTTCATTTGTCTGAAACAAACTATTTCCACCTCTATAACAAAAACAGCTCTGAAGAAATAGTAAAAAAGTAATAAATTATTAAACCAAATGATAGTATAACCTCCATGAAAGACAATCCATTACAAAGAACACCCACCATAAATCTTGGTAACTTAGTAAAGCATAAGCCAGTTGGTCACATCTGTTACCAGTTAGATGTAAATTTCAGATTACAGATAAAAATTAAATTGCTTTTGAAAGTTACAGGCAAAAGAGGAACATATTTAACAAATAAAAGCATTAATAAAAATGATGACATATTAGAAGAATTAGAAATATTTACAACATATCCAAGCTTCATTTTAATTGCTTTTTCAAATCAGACTGTCCTTTCTTTCACCTTTTTGGTTTAGTTTGCATTCTGCGTTATATATATGAAATGTTAAAAAGAAGCAATGTTTATAAGGCAAATCCAGGCTCTGTGTAAACTGACATAACTCCATTTCAGTGAGAACTGAGTCTGCTTTCACCAGATATGGATTTTTCCACTGTTCATTGGCCTGCTGTAATGCTCTGCTTCCCAGGGGTGTTGTGAGAATAAATTAATTGTGGACCAGCACTGGTCTCCTCCTGGCTTGGGTCTGGAGCAGAAGCAAGTTCAGTTTGAAGAAATGTGTGGGTACACAGTGCTGAATGAGGATCATAAACCAGCTAGTAGGGACAGAGGGCTCACACCAAACATGCATGAGCTAGAGGAGAGCCAGTCTTTGCACCCACGCACATGCACAATATCCCAATGAAATCAGAGATAGGGCTTTCATATTAAAACTCCCATTAATATCAAGAGGGGAAGGATTGGGCTGGAAAACAGTAGTAGAAAATATACCTTAAGTAGGGGTACATAATTTAGGAGTATTGGAGACTGCACATAAATGAAATTGTTGCCTCATGCACTAAACCAGAGGTTATAATTCAATAATGGCCTTACTGGAACCTCAGGAACTCTTTACCATACAAAGTAACTTTAAAAGATGTCATTACCTTCCTCTCCTGTTCTGTTGTAGTCTGTGTTTCAAATGGGAAAACATACTCACACGGTGAATCTTGGCATCCTCATCTCCGGGCATTTGGAATCGTTGAGTGTGTGTTGTGTACCTGCAACATCACCAAACAAGAATGTAAGAAAATTCACTGTCCAGAACAATACCCCTGCAAATACCCTCAGAAAATAGAAGGAAAATGCTGTAAAGTCTGTCCAGGTAAAACAAAGAGTTGATTGTAGACTGCCTTTTTGCTTTGGACGCTAAAGGGTTTGACCTAGGTCTTTGGTCAGCACAATATGAAAAGAACAGCTTTTGTCTCTGTTGCTCTGTTTTGTCTTGAGGGCAATCTGTGCGAAACAGAAGAGATGGAGCATTCACTCTTCTGAGCCCTCCCCACTTCTTGTAGATAGAAGAATTGCAGAATTAGTCCTGCATATTTTGATCCCTCCATTCCTTTCCTCTCTAACATTAACATGACTTTTTGACACCCGTTCAGAACAAAATCTGTCCCACACCCTGAGATTCACTTTCTTCCTGGAAATGATTCAAGAAAATTCTCATTCTCCCAGCTCAGCCCATTTATAACCTTCACAATATATTCTATTTATTTTCTAGCACTGGGATATTTACACTAAGATAATATATGTCCTGCTTTTAAAGCATATACCATTAGAATTCAGAAGTCTTGGATAAAAATGTACTTGTGTCAATACCGTAAACTAGATTCTTAAAATAAATGCTAACAGAAAATGGCCTTATAGATTTTTTCCACAATGCTAATCAGGTGATTCATTTTTTACAGGACAGTAGTGTAAATGGGTAAATAGAGCTAATAAAAAGCTGTTAGTCAAGTGTAATGTTTTGTCAAGTGATTGATTGTGTTGAATATAAGAAGAAATGTTTAAAATATACCAATGGTACCAATGGTTGTTGGGTGCCCAGTTGGTTTTTGCATTTGATTTGAGATGCTCCAGCAGAAATGCTCTGAACAAGCAAGTTTCACAGCCACATGCCCAAGTTGCTCACAGAAAACACACTTTACATTTTCATCTGCTAACACTTCTTATTGGGAGGCACCATGGTTTGATGGCACTAGCACACAGGAGACAGGGATTCAGATCCTAGTTGTGCCACTAACTTATGGCCTGTGGAGGGGCAATAAATGGCCCTGTGTCATTGTGTCTTTACATTTCTACTTCACAAAGGTTCGGGGAGCAGTGAGAGCCTGATTTGTTGAAATGCTGAACAGTATCCATAGCTGTCAGTGAAGCCAAATGGCAGATGAGGGCACTCAGCAAAATCTGACTAAGAGCCCTGAGTAGAAAATATAATAAAAGCAGAAACCTGCTTTTTAAATCTAAGTTATAGATCAAATCTCTAACATCTGAGATTTCCCCATGCCTGTGAAAGCACAGGTTGCTTTCCTAAAGTCTGTGACTTGCGTGTGTTAAGATGAAACACACTAAATAAAAATCAAAATGCCTTGCCTCTTACCAGGTCTGAACATTAGGCAGAACAGTATCTCAGGGGCATTAGTTGGAGCAGGACTTGAATGATCATTTTAGGGGAATTCATACACTTAAAACACTTGCTTGGCAGTGTGAGCCTAGTAAGTTCTGAAAGGCATTGTTAAAGCTTCATTTGTCTCTTCTACAGAAGAAATGCCAAGTCAGAGCTTTGACAGCAAAGATGATTTTTGCGGCGAAGAGACACTTCCTGTCTATGAATCTGTCTTCATGGAGGAAGGAGAAACCATCAGAAAAATTGCAGCAGAGACAGAAAATCCTCCTCAAGTAGAAATACATGTTTGGACAATTCGGAAAGGTGCGCAGAGCAAATTATTTCTTTAACTAGTGCTTTCTTCATTATTTAAAGCCCCAGCAAAAGTTTACAGATATTGGCTGCTTAGGACTTTACAGCAAGCCTTATCCTTTATTCTAGGCCAGTTGTTCTCAACCTTTTTTGTACCAGGACTCATTTGTAAACTTCAATGGCCAGCCCTGACGCAGTGCCCCTCACTCCCGACCCACTGCCCCCACCCCCAGGCCCCAGCCCCCCGGTGTATAGAGCAGAGGGAAGGTGTGTGGGGCAGGGGGGACCCCAAGTAGCCCCTTGCAGGCTGGAGCTCTGCTGGCCAGCAAGGAAAAAGCCACAGTTTCCCACGTTTTTCTTTAAAGGAGAATCCTTTTTTAAAGTCTGTTTGCAACCCTTTCATATATTCTTGTAATTCACCTGGGGTTGTGACCCCTGGGTTGAGAAACACGGCTCTAAGCTGCTTGGTCCTTTACTGTGGCAGCAGGGCTAGAGCTTTTATTTTCCTATTACAGAAGCATAAATCTGCCCCACTTCTGTCAAACTCTCTTAGTTATTACTTACTAGTACTGTAATGCAGAATCTATAATACCTTTCTGAATAGCTCTAATTTTGCCCAGGTGAGGGCAATGTTCAATTTAGTTCAGCTTAATTAAACTAGAGATAGGTGCCAAAAATACTGAAATATCCAAATTTTGAAAATTTGGGATGAGCTTTGATAGGCTCATTTACTCAGAGTTTACAGGTAACTCTGAGACCCCCTTTTAAATTCAAAATGGTTTTATTCTCTACCTCTTAAAAAAAGAGAAAAGGTACAGTTCGTACATTCTTGAGGTCATTTTAAAGGCAAAGCTATACTTAAATCTAAGCAGTCAACCACCAGAAAGGTGTGCACAAGATGGATGATACTGAGTGTTGCTGGCATATGCACCCAGTTGGACACAAACCCTTCCGGTACATCTTCTGTTGGCTGGCTGCAGTTAGATAAAATAATGATCAAAGTCAGAATGTCACTCTGCTTTTTCTCAAGACACCAGTCTTTGGCTTGTGTTCTGATCCTGTCTTCATCTGTAATGGAGATGGCTTGAGTCGTATGGGCCAGTGAGGAAACTAAGTCTCCTATCTCTGTAACATTCTCCACCACTTTAAAACCACAAAATTAAAATACTGAAGCAGCAAATGAAAACAATTAAAATATGCTGAAAATCCAAGTTATTGATAAGGGTTATTCTACAATGTGGTTCAGCATGCTGGTAGTTCTAGATATAATCAGAACAACAAGATTGGCCAGAGCAGTATATGTGTCTTCAGTTCCATGCTCTTATCATTTGCTGTGCGCAGGGATTCTGCGTCACTTTTACATTGAGAAAATATCCAAGAGAGAATTTGAAGATCTTCCTTACTTCAAGCAAATAACCAGGACAACTCCAAGTGAGTAACATTTTTGTGACTTCAGATTTCAGTTTTCAATATAATATTCACCTTGAAAAGTGTTCCACTTTATTCAAAAGCTTGTCTAACTTTATCCCAACTGGTCCAGCAAAAAAATATCACCCCCCAAAATCCTTGCCTTTCACTTAATTCCTGGATCACCATCATGGCTATAGCATCACTCTACCACTATTAACATTACTCCACAAACTCAAATAAATTTGCTACTTTTCTTCCAACATCTGGAATCAATAATTTGTGAATATAAATTAAAATAATCAGAATGCAGCAATGTGAAAAAAATTAGAGTGATTTTGTCAGTTTTCTGTTAGCATCTTGTAATTCTGAGAAAGTCCACAGGGAAATATATTATGCTCTTCATCTCACGATTTGAAACCTGGAGCAGCATCACTGAGAAGCAGACTTCTAGTTGTATAAAAGAAAATATACACATGCTAGTACCCAACAAACATGATTTGCAAATACAAAGGTAGGCAGAATGAAAGTTGTGTGAGACCTTAACCTTGTTAAACTTGTCTCTTCTACTTTGCTTTGCTTAGGTTCAGTTTCTAATACCCTTCTGGCATATGGCACAACACTCTATTTCATAAGTGGCTGAAATCAAGTAGGACTACCTATACAGCAAGGAGCAGAGTAGAGAGATCAGAATCTGGCCCTTAATGTTTTTCTAATGTAATTCTCTTTCAGGGATATACTAAATGATTGTAATATATTTCAGATATTTTCCATGGGAGGGTTAGAAACTCTCCCTTCAAACATTTTGAATTTGTTTGGATAATGTTTGTAAATGACTCAAAGTTGCCCCTGCCCTTTCTAAGTCAGTATCTCTCTGCTTTGTGTTTTTGTTTTCAGGCCAGTGGAAAATATTTAGCGAGGGAGAAGCTCAGATCAGCCAAATGTGTGAAATCAGAGTGTGCAGGACTGAGCTGGAGGATTTGGTAAAGGTTTTGTACCTTGAAAAGTCTGAAAAGGGTCACTGTTAAGGAAGACAAGCACTGGAGAGGGAAACACAAGAAAACTTATGAAAACTTGGATCTGCAGCTGGACTGCAGGCTTATTTTGCTTAAGTCAACAGTTGCCCTAAAAACCCAAACTATAATGCAGTAATTATTCACATCATGCACAGCAAATTTGCTGCTTTATGTGTAGTGGTCTGTGTCAACCATTTAAATATCTTCTCAAAAAAGACTAGAAGGCTCTGTATTATTGGCAGGGGAAAGGGAGACTTTAGTTTCTTAGAGTTGCATTTCTTTACAAGTTAAAAAAGAAAACAGAACTTTTTTTATTTGGGAAGTTGTTCAAGCTAATGAAATGAAGGACATATAATAAATGTGGGGGAGTTATGGAGAGCATTATTTCCTGTGCTGAGTTTATACTACTTCTGGTGTTGAAATGACTCATATTTTTCTAGCAGGGGGGAAATATAAGTGATACAATACTTGTTTTTGAGACACAAAAACAGATTTAAACTAACGAGCTTCTAACCAGTCTACTGCCATTTGGATGATGTCTCGCAGTTGAAGGAACTGAGTACCTAAGTGGAGCAGCAGGTGTTAGTGGGAATTACTATATTTTTGTAGAAATTTAAGAAAATGTTCACTTTTAAGTGGTTTTCACTTGGTTCCCGCCACCCACTTCTCCAAGTGAAAAGTGAAATATCAGCTCTCTGTTGCAGCCCCAATGTTGCATTCTCACAGGCCCTGTTAACACATAGCCTCAGATGATAAACTGCTTTTACAAACTAACATGGCAGGAGAACACAAAGCACTTGGATCATTACTGAAAATCTCTAGAGGGTTAAAGTCACAGTGATTAATGACTTATTAGATGTCTTGGATATCACATAATTTATTAACAATAATTGCCACAATAACAGTGTTCTGCATTGTTCTAACAGTGGCTGTTCCAATCTCAGCAAGCATAACGTCAAGGGCAAATCTCTCCAATGGCAAAATAATGAGCACTTTTATCAAGCCATTATGTTACGGCACCTCCATCATGACCATTATTTTCATACAAAAAGAAATCCAGGCTATTCAGTTGATCTGTAGTTCACAGGTGAAAGTTAATTATAGTATCTGCATAATGTCCTTGATAAAGGTCATATCTGGTTTCAAAGAAAAGTTCTGTATTAAAATATAAAGCCATGGCTTTGAAAACGTGGCCTCTGAGGAGCCATATGAAATCCCATTACACCAATGTGTGGCTCCCATCTTGAATTCACTTCCAAGGACCAACTGACTGTGGCTGCATTATCTTCGACTTTTTATTCCAGAATTAGACGGGAACATTGCTGTTCAGACACACATTAAAAACAAAGCCTTAAGGAAGTGGCTTCAGATCAAGCTTCTGGCTCTCCTGGGATTGAAGTTCATAGTAGCAGCCACAATTTTGTGGTGCTCATTGTACCTTAAAAAATCCTGCCATGCCATCTGCTCCACCATGATTTTCCAGTGATGGCACTCTAGGTCTCCCTTTGATTATGTGCATGTTAATAAAATGTATTAAGGTGCATGATATTCAGTGCTGAAAGCCACTGACCCAGTTCTGGCTCCAGAAGTACTAATACAGTTTTTGAAGGAGCTCTGGTCCTAGTTGTGAACTTCTTGCACCTCCCTGTGGCAGCTGCTATAGTCCTAAGAGGCAGTCAGCTTTTATGCTCTTCCAGTCGTACCAGTGCTTCTCGCAGTAGCCAGGAGTGCAGGGAAGGCATTAGCAACAAAGAGCAAATAGGCAAGTGAGGGGCGCAGATGGCAAAGTGAAGAGGAGAAACAGGGGGACTAAGTGAAGACATAAGGATTTGGGGAAGGATTTATACCCAGTGTTTTATATACGTGTTCTTCATAGCACTCCTGGCCCCGTGCCAGGGGGGAGAGCAGATTTTTAAGAGCACTTTCATCCCTATCACAAAACAGTGTGCCAGAAGGGAGCATCTCTGACATCCCGCTTTGATTTGCAAGGACAAAACACTCTCTTTGATGTCAGTAAAATCTTATAGGATCAGGACAAGGCACTGACACTACTAAGCACACGCAAAGCCCTGACTATATCTGGCCAAAAACGATCCTATGGCATTTCTCATAAAAGAGATCATTCCTTGTGCTGGCCAAATTGGGTAATAATATTCTCCTTCCTTAAATTCTCTTTTGTGTTTAAAATGGGTGGGGCGATCATTCCTAGTCCTAAATTGTTTGTGTAATGTTGCTGTGTCATATTAAACAGCTGTATGTTCCACTTCAGAGACGGTCGCAATGTAGTTGTGGGAAAAGCAGTTTGTAAAGCACTTTAGGGTCTGTTGGGTTGAAACGTGCTGTAAAAATGTAAAAGTTTATTATAAATGCTCTAATAGCGCATGTATTAACATGAACATTCCTTGGATGAAGATACAGCAAAAGACATCCTAAAGAGCCACAGACAAAAGCTGGGCTATGTTCGGCTCACCTCTTGGTACAGTGCGTTTGTAGCAGTAGCTAATGAGCAAAGACTGTTATGTGGAAAGTGTACACCCTTTGTATTATTTGCGCAGGAGACAAACTGCCTTTTGTATTTGTGACAGAACAGGTGGGGTTCAGATTGTGTATTTATTTGTATGATAAACACTTTTTAAGAAAAAAAACAAGTACCATTTAGTAAATGAAGTTTTTACATTTTTACAGTTTCCTCTCACATAAGACAATAAAGTCCACAGTGTCATGGTTTTCATCCTCTTCACAGGACATAAGCCCAATATGGTACTTATTTCTGTACTTGCTCTATCATTTTGATCTGATTTTATAAATTAATAAACTCTAAAGTTGTTAATAAAAAGAACTTCTCTCAATGAAGTGGCAGGCCTAAAATGTGTGGCTTCAATCCACCTGTTTGCAAGTATGTGACAGTTACTCCTTTAAGCCCGTCACTGGCTTCAACAGGAACCAGCCAAGTCGGCAAACCTGGCTTGAAGGAGCGGTCCAATGAAAACACTGGACTAATTGTGTGACTGAACTCTGGGATTAGCCAAGGAAATTAAGTGAAGGTCTTTTAGACCCTGATTTGGAGGACTTAAGGATATGAGGTACACCAGTGTACCTCAACTCAGTTGACTTCAATGGGACATAGGCATGCACTTATCACCTCAATTCATCAGCACTAGCAGGCAAAACCCCATGCAGGAGAGTACAGATTTTGAATATTTTGTTGGTATAAATGAGGTAACAAAACCATTTATAACAGAAATAAATATGACAAGCTGCATACCTTGAGGTAGACAGGGAACTGAGTATGTAGAGACAAAGCCCTGTGCCCAGCCACAGCACCAACTATTCATGTAAGAGCTTAGAGCTTAGCAGAGAGAAGATGCCTCTCATTTATCTCTACATCACTTTAAGGGGGCTGACAGACGTGACATTTTGTTGTGTGATTGGCCCCCAAAAGTGTTCTCCAGCCATGCCCTGATGAGTGCACAGCTGCAGAGCACTTTAAAAGTGCCCAATCGCATGACAAATTAATCCTCAAATTAACCCTCAAATGAAGGTGCTCCAAAGCCCCCCCCCCCAAGGGGGGGGCGCCAATCCACCTGACCCCCCTCCAGTGCAGGCTGGAAAAACCCCAGGCTCTCCCCCTTCTCCCTTCTCTCCCTCCCATCCTGCAGACAACACCAGAGCTGGGGGCGAGGGGGTGAGACTTGGAGGGAGAGGCTGCAGATAGGCAGCCTCGCTTTGCTGGATCAGCTCTGAAGTGGAGCTTGATTCCCCAGCCCCCATCCAACAGCAAATGTCTGTTAGGTCAGGGGGGTCACTAACTCATGGTGCTTTCTGTGAAACACCATGAGTTATAGTGGGGAGCTACACATCTGTCAGCGCCCTAAATGCCCCAGTGTTGGGCTACCAATTCTCATGTAGCTCACCCAAGAGAGGCAGCCCTAGAGATGGGCCCAAATGCCTAACACTAACAGAGTTCTCTTATCACCATTATTATAGAAAGTTCATCTTTTACATATTATAAGCAGGTTGCCTTGTCTGTGGGCTTCTCCAGGTAGGCTCCTGCTCCATGAAGTACTCCCCAGCCAGTCCATACTGATAAAGCAGAGTCTTTAAATCAGCAAAACAAGCAAACCAAACCTTTTTGTCCTGTCCCTGATACTGGGCGGGGTGGGGTGTTCCCCTGTGGCTCTGGCGTTTGCACAGCAGTCTGGTCCCTCCATGTAGCCAGCAGTTCAGCCCACCACCTGCCCCAGACTCGCAAGTGTTCCCTCATAGTTGGCTTCCCTACTGATTTTCTCTCTGGGATTTTTAAGCTCCTAGTGAGCTACTCCTTGATCAGCAGCCTCCTGACAGCTGCAGCTACTCAGCAGGGCTGGCCCCTCTTAAGGGGATGGAGCACCCTGTTACACATACATGTTAGTAATTTATACACAAGAAACAATATGAAAAACAAAGAAGAAAGGTGGCCTTTTGCGTAAATTGGGACTCTGAAGATCTTATTTTTCAGCCTTGCTAGTGTTTTCCATATGAACTTGGGAAGAGAAGTCACTAATTGTGCTTCAGCAGATTTCATCTATTTTCTCAAAAAAAAGCTCTCGGGTTTGTTTAGCATAATCTGTCTTTAAGAAACCTGTTTTGTAATGCAACGCCAGTAAAATAAGATGTACAGTGGATCTAACTTGTCAGAAAAGGGGGTCTAATTCATGCTGGGCCACAGAAGATAGACAGCACAGCCGCACTATGATGCAAGGGCCTTGAACCAGACTTTGGTGCAGGAGTAAGCTTTTCTTTGCTTGCCCTTTGGCAAGTGCAGCAATTCAGTCAGCAAGGTACTAGTAATTCATGTAAGCAAAGCTCTGAGGCATCCAACTAAAACAATTCACTAGGCCCTGAGGCTTATGAAATCAACACAGGACATATTACATAATGTGAACAACTAAACCTCAAGATCACCTGGTAAACACTGAGATAACGAGTCTGTGCTACATGAAAAAATACTGGTACAGGATAACTTTGGATAAAATCAGAAAAAAAACCACAATCAACATAAATGACATAAAACTAAGACCATTAAATCTTGGAAAGGTAAATGTGTTTGAGACAAGAAGCTGTACAGCTGGGATGTATCTCAAACCTAAAGTTTAGTTTCATTGGAAATTTTTCCTTAAATTATTTTCTCTTCTTTCATTGTAATCTATAGATTCATCTTATGTTCAAGTAAATCCTTCTCCTCCATTTATTAAGTCTCTGTTACGAGGCTAAATATTTCCCCCTTACTACTAGGACACATCCTTAGCATGTGCCAATATTCTTTTCCACAGCTGTTTTTATTCCAACCCCATCATCAACTTCTGTGAGCACCTTCAAGTAAGGCAGTAGTGCTCAGTCTTTTAGCCCCACAAGTCAAATGAGGTATGCAGGGCTGGTCCATGGGTCAGATAAGACCCCATGCCACAGGATCAGGTCCACACACCTAGATCTGGACTGTGCTGCCTCTGCCTGGTCCCATATACTGGGATCAGAGGCCTGGGACTCTGCACTGCCTCTGCCAGGTTCCATGCCTTAGGACTGGGGCTCCAGGACCCTGTACCTCCTCCACTCTGACCCATATGTGGGGATTAGGCTCCAGACCCTCATGCCACTTCTGTCCAGCCCCATACATTGGGATTGGGCCCCATGCTGCCTTGCAAATCAAATCTAGCGTGCGGATGTCAAAGTGCCAGGGACTGGGTTGGCTGATGGGCCAGGGGTTGAGCACCCCTGCAATAGGACCTTGGGTGAAATAACTTATATAATTCTCTCTATCGCAGAGCATGAATCATCTTTGGCTCATGTATGGGAGATACAGAAGGAACTACCCTCTTTAATGCTGTGTTGTGTTGTAATGCCACACACACACACACACACACACACACACACACACACACACACACCCCCCCCCCCCCCCT